TGTCATCATCTAAGGGCCCTAATCTGTCATAATTAAAGGGCCCTAATCTGTCATTCAAGGGCCCTAATCTGTCATCATCTAAGGGCCCTAATCTGTCCTCATTAAAGGGGCCTAATCTGTCATCATTAAAGGGCCATAATCTGTCATCATTAAAGTCATCATTAAAGGGCCCTAATTTGTCGTCATGAAAGGGCCCTAATCTGTCATCATTAAAGGGCCCTAATCTGTCATCATTAAAGGGCCCTAATTTGTCGTCATGAAAGGGCCCTAATCTGTCATTAAAGGGCCCAAATATGTCATCATTAAAGGGCCCGAATATGTCATCAGTAAAGGGCCCTTATCTGTCATCATTAAAGGGCCCTAATCTGTCATCATCTAAGGGCCCTAATCTGTCATAATTAAAGGGCCCTAATCTGTCATAATTAAAGGGCCCTAATCTGTCATTCAAGGGCCCTAATATGTCATCATCTAAGGGCCCTAATCTGTCCTCCGTAAAGGGGCCTAATCTGTCCTCCGTAAAGGGGCCTAATCTGTCATCATTAAAGGGCCATAATCTGTCATCATTAAAGTCATAATTAAAGGGCCCTAATCTGTCCTCATTAAAGGGCCCTAATCTGTCATCATCTAAGGGCCCTAATCTGTCCTCATTAAAGGGCCTAATCTGTCATCATTAAAGGGCCATAATCTGTCATCATTAAAGTCATAATTAAAGGGCCCTAATCTGTCACCATTAAAGGGCCCTAATCTATCCTCATTAAAGGGCCTTAATCTGTCATCATTAAAGGGCCCTAATCTATCCTCTTTAAAGGGTCCTTAATCTGTCATCATTAAAGGGCCCTAATCTATCCTCATTAAAGGGCCCTAATCTGTCATCATTAAAGGGCCATAATCTGTCACCATTAAAGGGCCCTAATCTATCCTCATTAAAGGGCCTTAATCTGTCATCAATAAAGGGCCCTAATCTGTCATCATTAAAGGGCCCTAATCTGTCATAATTAAAGGGCCCTAATCTGTCATTCAAGGGCCCTAATCTGTCATCATCTAAGGGCCCTAATCTGTCCTCATTAAAGGGGCCTAATCTGTCATCATTAAAGGGCCATAATCTGTCATCATTAAAGTCATAATTAAAGGGCCCTAATCTGTCACCATTAAAGGGCCCTAATCTATCCTCATTAAAGGGCCTTAATCTGTCATCATTAAAGGGCCCTAATCTATCCTCTTTAAAGGTCCTTAATCTGTCATCATTAAAGGGCCCTAATCTATCCTCATTAAAGGGCCCTAATCTGTCATCATTAAAGGGCCATAATCTGTCACCATTAAAGGGCCCTAATCTATCATTAAAGGGCCTTAATCTGTCATCAATAAAGGGCCCTAATCTGTCATCATTAAAGGGCCCTAATCTGTCATCATTAAAGGGCCCTAATCTGTCCTCATTAAAGGGCCTTAATCTGTCATCATTAAAGGGCCCTACTCTGTCATTAAAGGGCCCTAATCTATCCCTCATTAAAGGGCCTTAATCCGTCATCATTAAAGGGCCCTAATCTGTCATCATTAAAGGGCCCTAATCTATCCTCATTAAAGGGCCTTAATCTGTCATCATTAAAGGGCCCTAATCTGTCACCATTAAAGGGCCCTAATCTGTCGCCATTAAAGGGCCCTAATCTATCCTCATTAAAGGGCCTTAATCTGTCATCATTAAAGGGCCCTAATCTATCCTCATTAAAGGGCCCTAATCTGTCATCATTAAAGGGGCCTAATCTGTCATCATCTAAGGGCCCTAATCTGTCATAATTAAAGGGCCCTAATCTGTCATTCAAGGGCCCTAATCTGTCATCATCTAAGGGCCCTAATCTGTCCTCATTAAAGGGGCCTAATCTGTCATCATTAAAGGGCCATAATCTGTCATCATTAAAGTCATCATTAAAGGGCCCTAATTTGTCGTCATGAAAGGGCCCTAATCTGTCATCATTAAAGGGCCCTAATCTGTCATCATTAAAGGGCCCTAATTTGTCGTCATGAAAGGGCCCTAATCTGTCATTAAAGGGCCCAAATATGTCATCATTAAAGGGCCCGAATATGTCATCAGTAAAGGGCCCTTATCTGTCATCATTAAAGGGCCCTAATCTGTCATCATCTAAGGGCCCTAATCTGTCATAATTAAAGGGCCCTAATCTGTCATAATTAAAGGGCCCTAATCTGTCATTCAAGGGCCCTAATATGTCATCATCTAAGGGCCCTAATCTGTCTCCGTAAAGGGGCCTAATCCTGTCCTCATTAAAGGGGCCTAATCTGTCATCATTAAAGGGCCATAATCTGTCATCATTAAAGTCATAATTAAAGGGCCCTAATCTGTCCTCATTAAAGGGCCCTAATCTGTCATCATCTAAGGGCCCTAATCTGTCCTCATTAAAGGGGCCTAATCTGTCATCATTAAAGGGCCATAATCTGTCATCATTAAAGTCATAATTAAAGGGCCCTAATCTGTCACCATTAAAGGGCCCTAATCTATCCTCATTAAAGGGCCTTAATCTGTCATCATTAAAGGGCCCTAATCTATCCTCTTTAAAGGTCCTTAATCTGTCATCATTAAAGGGCCCTAATCTGTCATCATTAAAGGGCCCTAATCTGTCATCATTAAAGGGCCCTAATCTGTCATCATTAAAGGGCCCTAATCTGTCCTCATTAAAGGGCCTTAATCTGTCATCATTAAAGGGCCCTAATCTGTCATCATTAAAGGGCCCTAATCTGTCATCATTAAAGGGCCCTAATCTGTCCTCATTAAAGGGCCTTAATCTGTCATCATTAAAGGGCCCTACTCTGTCATTAAAGGGCCCTAATCTATCCTCATTAAAGGGCCTTAATCCGTCATCATTAAAGGGCCCTAATCTGTCATCATTAAAGGGCCCTAATCTGTCATCATTAAAGGGCCCTAATCTATCCTCATTAAAGGGCCTTAATCTGTCATCATTAAAGGGCCCTAATCTGTCACCATTAAAGGGCCCTAATCTGTCGCCATTAAAGGGCCCTAATCTATCCTCATTAAAGGGCCTTAATCTGTCATCATTAAAGGGCCCTAATCTATCCTCATTAAAGGGCCTTAATCTGTCATCATTAAAGGGCCATAATCTGTCACCATTAAAGGGCCCTAATCTATCCTCATTAAAGGGCGTTAATCTGTCATCATTAAAGGGCCCTAATCTGTCATCATTAAAGGGCCCTAATTTGTCCTCATTAAAGGGCCCTAATCTGTCATCATTAAAGGGTCCAATCTTTCATCATTAAAGGGCCCTAATCAAGGGGGGTAAATACTTTTGCAAGGCACTGTACACCTCCAGTTGTTCTGTCTGTGGTAACTTCGTCCTTTTCACCAAAGATAGAGACGTCGTCCACATCAGTGTCACTTCATGTATAATGTTCTGGTATCGTCTGGTTTAATGGACTGAGAACACCGCATCACAAGTGGCACACACACACTCTGTATGTGTCGCATCAGCTGCATCAAGTTTATTTGTATCGCCCAATTTATACACAAAACAACCCAGAGTGGTTTAATGAACATGAATGGAATCGTTATAATAATAGCAAGAAAAACGCCTCTGAAATGTAATTTGTGAACTTGGATCTTTACCATAGACTGTAATTTAATGGTTATTCAGAGTTTTTCAAGGTTTTCTGGAGAAGTATCGATCACTGATTCATCCCATGCACAGTTTACAGTTTTTCTTGAAGACCAGGACACTTTTCTTTAACAATTTCACCCATTTCTCTAAACACCGGCCTCTACACTGACACAGAAACAGCTTCATTATTCAATCACAATGAAATATCCTGTGTCTTTGCCTGTCCGCTTTATCACATGTCGTAAGTGTCTTGTCCTTCACCTTTGACAAGCCAGAATGATTTGACAGACCTGTGTTTTCTCGTCATCTTTCCTGTCAGACCTGTCCAAAAACAGGACGAGCTTCATCCGATGGTTTACTTGTTTGAGTCGCTGCATGTTGTAACGTTTGTTTACGTTTCTCTGGGAGGATTTTTCTGTGAGGAGTGAGGCCTTTTGTTATGACTCTATGTTGTGTGAGAAAAATGCTTGCAGTTTAATTTGAACTGTGTTTTGGTTTCCTTCAAATGTTACATGTAGGAGCCAAAATGTACCTTTCCCGAGCCAATAGGTGGCGCTGTGAGCGTTATGTGACCTGAGCCCATTCTCCTACAAAAAGGGCAGAATTAGAGGGCACAGGTGCTGCTGGGTTTGAGGTAAACCGTTTCTTACCGTGTCAGTTGTGGAAAGTATTATGTTTATGTGGATTAATGGTCAGAGGGGCCAATAAAGAACCCTCTAATACACTATTTGGACTGGGGTTTGTGGAGACACGCGTTTGGGAAACCCTTAAAATCTTAGCAGCCAGGAGGCGATCTATAGGCAACATCTTCGCCTCTACAGTAACATGACTTCAAAGATAGATAGATAGGTATTTTAGAGATAGATACTTTTTTTTATCCCTGTTGGAGAAATGCAGGTGTCCAGTAGCAGCAGAAACACCTGCATTAATGCAAACAAAACAAATAGATATTTCTAAAAGTAGCTAATAGTAATAAAATGTAACAGCACTTTAGGTCTCAGCAGCAGAGGTGGAGCTGCTTGGTTTGGACCATTTTCTCTGCTCTGGTCCAGAGTAAGAGGCTGACTTCTTTGTTAGCATTAAAACTATATATTTACAATCAATCCTTCAGTGGATTTCTGCCTGATCTGTTTGGTTGGGACCATGAATCCTCTCTGCTCTGGTCTGGGTCAGTGTTAAACTATGAACATGTTTGTACTGCAGTGACATTTACAGGTAGAAAAAGCAAGAAAAAAACATTTGTAAAACCCAAAACAACTGTTTCAGAGCGACTTAGGACTTGCTGCCGTTTCCAGTGCATTCAAAAGTAAGCTGTAAAAAATGACTTCAAATGTATCGATGGTAAAGTGTCTCCTGGTGCTCAGGCTGGCGGTGGAGCGGATGTCCCGGGAAGCAGCGGAGTCCCGGCAGCGGCTCCTGGAGGATCAGCTCGCCGGGCTGCAGGAGGAGCTCCGCAGGGTCTCTGAGCTCAGCCCTGCTTCAGACGCCATTCAGACGGTACGTTGGGGCCAAATCTCCATATTTTAAAACGAAAAATGTCCTGTTCCATCTTAAACATTAAATCATTCGGACTTTGTCAAATACTGATAATTGGCCCGAGTAAGTTTGAGTTTTGTTTCAGTGTTGTATATTCTAATTAAAGCAACAGTAAGAAACTTTCTGGAGGCGGAAAATCCAGAAAGTTCCCATGATTCCGTGGAGAAAAAGAATTAAAACCAATGTCTTTAACAGTTGGTTACAAAGGAGCTTCCCACATCACGGCTCCTGAAGTAAAATATGTAGGAATCTTTCTCCGGAGAAGTCAGATCCGCTGTAGGACAGATAATGACCATAACAACAATATTTTTAGGCAGAAAACAACCAAACTCGGACCACCATTTTTAGTGGCCCCTGAAATGATTTGCAATTATTACAGTAGCTTGCAGCATTGATGGTAAAGGAATACTATGTTACCGTGTTATACTTAATTTTAAAGCTTATTTTCTCAGTAAAGCAACCATATATTTACATTTATTCTAACATTTTAACTAACCTGTAAGTAGAAGGTAAGTTAGGCCCAAGATTTATTTTGTTATCAAAAAAGACTGTGACCCAGTTGTGGTTTAATTCAAACCTACCAGGAAATAATATCCAAACTTATAAAAATATGTTATAAAAATAAATAAATAATAATAATTAATAAAAGTACTTTTGGACCCAACCAGCTGTAATGTTATTTAAACTTGGCCCCCGACCAAATTGAGTTTGACACTGCTGTAGTTAGTGATTTGATTTTATTAATTTAAGCAGAAATGTTGCATTCATTCAAGTATTTACAATATTTACATTCCTTAGTTTACATGTTGCCTTCTGTGTTTACTGTACATACTTACACATGCAAATAGATACCCATGAATACACAATCAAGCATCAGTATTGGCCCTAGTTTCACCATGTGTTGTATATTTATATCAATACGTAATTTAAAATGCATTTCTATTCACAAGTTGTTAACTCGAAATGATGTAAAACGTAAAGAATTACAAACTTGTAGACTCCCACCTCTTAAATATGCAAGAATTCAGTTATTTATTTAAGTTTCTACAAATAAGAAGAAATCTCTCGATGTAACGTATGAAATCCGTATTTGTATCCACAGGATTTGCTGAGTCTTCAGGCAGATCTGGCGGAGGCTGCGGTTCTGCGCCAGCGTCAGGACGAGACGCTCAGACAGAGAGAGCGTGAGCTGACTGCCCTGAAGGGGGCGCTGAAGGAGGAGGTGGAGTGTCACGACCGCGAGATGGAGACGCTGAGGGAGCAGTACAGTGTGGACATGGAGAACCTGCGCAGGACCATGGAGCAGGTCACACAGGTCAGAAGGGTCCATGAAACAGAATTACCAAATGCATTCTAACGACGCATTTTATCGTTGGCTACTTTTATATATAGGATAAATGCAACATCACTTTAGGTCTCAGCAGCAGAGGTGGAGCCGCTTGGTTTGGGCCATTTTCTCTGCTCTGGTCCAGACTAAAATGCTGAATGCTTTGTTAGCATCAAAACAATATATATATCATTCCTCTGGTGGATTTCTGCTTGATCTGATTGGTTTATATCGTGAGTCCTGAAAACAGGATGGTCCAAAAGTCGACTCTTGGACCACAATATCTTTATAAAGTTTGTGGGTCTGAGGTTTGGGATGTTTTTGATGAGACTATTGTGAAAAAAAACATCAAACCTGGACAAATAAACATATCTCTTTATCTTTATGTTTACTTATTTTTACTTATTTAGTCATTTAATTCGGGGCGACAGTAGCTCAGTTGGTAGAGCATTGGCCTTTGGGCCTGAAGGTTGTGGGTTCGAGCCCACCGTAAGACCTACTTCACGACTCCCACTGATGACTGCTGTCGTTGTGTCCTTGGGCAAGACACTTAACCCTACTTTGCCCAAAGCTCCCACTGAAAGATCTCAGCTCCTGTGGACTCACCACCTGCAGGAGGATCAGTGAGGGGCTGGTGCTCTGTGTACTGGGTGCAGCTCTGACTGCCACCCCCCCGACCCAGAAATGGATTAAGGGGAAGAAAATGGATGGATGGATGGATAGTCATTTAATTTAGTTAATTGATATCAAACTGATGCATGTTTGGTGATAATCTTTGTGTTTTAGGCTGAACACAAAGACCTAATCTCATTTAACACATGGAGCTTAGAAAAATCTGGGTTTAACCAAGATTTACATTTAGGGGATTTGCTCTAAGTTTAATTAGAATTGAACTAAACTCTGCAAACAGTATAATTATGTCCAAATCACAAATGACCAGATCTGAAAAAGTGACAAAATATAGAATGATGCGACGAATTAAGTATGTTTTACATTTGAGATGCTGTATTGTTTATTATTCATGATCGGATGACAAACTGAAAAGGCTCAAATATATGCACTATTTTATTTCTGTTAATGGAAAGTTATTAAGAAAAGCCTCTTGAGATGAATTGTCTCATTTTTGAAGGGTCCCTAAATATAAAAACATGTAAACACAGAGCAACCCACTGTGATCCAAGATGGCGTCCTGTTCAAATGAACGGCTTGTGCTCAGTAGTTCATGGGACTTCACAGAGACCGGGAGATTAGCGGAACTCGTCCATATTTGGACATCGTCTGGTCCTCCCTGTTCTGTGCAGTGGACGAGCTCCCATGATGCCATCCATCCATCCATTTTCTTCCCCTTAATCCTTTTCTGGGTCAGGGGGGTGGCCAGAGATGCCACCCAGTACAGAGCACCAGCCCCTCACTGATCCTCCTGCAGGTGCTGAGTCCACAGGGGCCTTGATCTTTCAGTGGGGGCTTCAGGCGAAGTGGCATTAAGTGTCTTGCCCAAGGACACAACGGCAGCAGTCATCAGTGGGATTCGTGATGTAGGTCTTGAACCCACAACCTTCAGGCCCAAAGGCCACTGCTCTACCAATTGAGCTACTGTCGCCCAGTAGCTCCCATGATGCTTTGCTCCAAATACGCGTGTGTGGCTCTTATGCACGTGCACAGAGGGGCTCGGCCACGCTCTGACCAATCAGAGCTGCTCAGAGCAGCAGAGCGGAGCCAGAGCGGGAAGGAAAGGTTTGTGGCAGTAAAGTGTGGATTTAACAAAAACCGAAGGATTTAATATTTAAAAAAGTTCAGGATGATAAGGGACACCAAAATCCCCACAAAATCTGACTTTAGGAAAGCTGTAGGTTCTCTGTCAGGTTCTCTGTCAGGTTCTCTGTCAAGTTCTCTGTCAGCTGCGGTCGAGCTGTTTTAGTTTACATTGAGTTCTATGGGACCTTCTTTCTGGGTAGCCCACATGAATTAGTCTGCAGTACCACAGCGCCCCCTGTGGCCATTGGTAGGACAGCTATAAGCTAGTTATACTTTATCCAGTTATTATTATAGATCCATGGTCCACACATACTGTATACAACAATTTACAGAGCATGAATGGCTTTTTAACATCACGGCCAGGAGACTACAGATAAAAAACTGCCTCCTTGGCTAATTCTGACTTTTTAAACTCATGTATAATCATGTGTTTTATTAAATTGCACTGTCCCCTTTGAAATAAACGAATCAAGGATAAGAAAAGATAATTACATAAACACACACACAATAAAAAAATAAAAATCTGCTGACATGAAACATTTAGAAAGTAAAAGTCATGACATTTGGACAAAGGATAAACAGTGACATAAACTAGTCTTGTTCCTGGTCCAAACCGGAGCAGACTGGATTGTGTTTGTTGCCGTGGCTACAGTCCTAATCCGGTCCTCAGAGGGTTCAGTGTTGGGATGTTTTCACCTGACTGCGTGTCGTGAGCTGCAGTGAATATTTCATTATGATAAAGCTTTTCCTTTGAAGTCGCATCCGCCAATTACCGTCCGGATTTGTCTCGTCGCTCTGGTTTCAATGTGTCAGCGCAGAAAGTGCTTGACTCCAGGTTATTCCAGGTTATTCCAGGTTTCTCCAAGTTTTTCCAGGTTTCTCCAAGTTTCTCCAGGTCACACAGAATTTGACAAAAAGCACTAACAAGAGATGATGTGAATGTGTGGAAAAAGACTAAATGAAAACTAGTTTTTGGGATGATGTGATTTAACCCAGATGTGTTTGGTTTTGTACTTTTATCTTTTTTTTTGTTTATATTCCGTTTATATTTACAGTCTATGGTTCTTCTTAAAACTGGAGTATGTAACGTTGAAATATCAAAACCTTTGGGTCTCTCAGTATTTTTGAAATGTATGTATTTTTTTGCCACAGTCAGAAAAGTGTGTCCAGCCTCACTCAGCCCTAAAGTATGTCAAATATTATTGTTATTATTTTTTTATTATTTTAAATAGACAACATATATTGGTGAAACATACAAAAAAAGATTTAAGATTTAAGATCCAGATTTACACGATCATTTAACATTCTAAAGTATAAATGATTGTTTTTATGTGTAAATATATTTCTGTATTTTTATGTTTTTTACCGCCTACAGCACTTTGGTGAGTCTCGGCTGTTTTAAATCTGCTCCACAAATTAAAATTGGATAATTTTATTGAAGCATAATATTTTTTTAACGGGTTTTTTTGGGGGGTTTTTTTATAGTCCGTATTATTTTAAACAAACAAAAAGTTGGGTACTCCAGATTTACACGATCATTTAAGGTTCTAAAGTATGAATGATTGTGTTTAAAAGCAAAACAATAACACAACAAGCAAGTTTTTATTGTGCTGTTTTTACCGTCTACAGCACTTTGGTGATTCTCTGCTGTTTTAAATGTGCTCCACAAAAAACAAATGTTATTGATTTGATTGTAGCATAAAGTTTATTCCTAAATCACCCCCATCCTCATCGTCTGAACTCAACTATCATGAATCTAAAATAGGAACTGCGCTGAACCGGCAGGAGTCAAACCGAGCCAAAAGTAAGTGCAAAAATACAGTGGAAAAAAAGTGGCAAGTTCTTTTCTGAGGACGGATCTGAACGTGTGAATGTCTCCGGGATCATTACCAGGTTTCAGCAAAAGTAAAGCCGTGTCGGGCGAAAGTGCAGCCGCAGAGAGCAGGAAGTGACAGACCGACGCTCTTTGAAGACGGGATATATTTTCACCTGTGTCTTTGGGCTTTTCCAAATCCAGCGCTTATTTTGAATTTTTTTTTTCTTCAATATAAAACAGTGAACTGTGCACATACAAGGAGCTGCCTATTCTGTATCAAGTGTTGGATTTGCGATGGTATGGATCTGAAATCTGTCATAGCTTGTTAGGAATGACACTTAAAATGATGCAAAATGATTTATACCACATTATCAAAACTAGATGCTTTTATTTAGTAGCGGGATCTTGCAAATTGGTCAGGCCTTAATTAAATCCAAGAAAATGAACTTGGGTCATTGCGAGCGTTTCATGTCTGCTGCTTTTGATGTTTTTGCTTGTGCTCCGTGTTAATTAAAAGTGAGAAAGTTAGCTTCTAAAACCTAAATTGGCGATGATAGAGAAACTAAAAAGCAGAACAATGGGCCTCATTCACGAATAACTTCGTAAGAAACTACTCAACTTTCTTCTCAAGTTGTCCTTAAGTAGATTTCTAAGAAGTCCCCACGTGGGATTCATCAACGCACTCGTAAGCCGCTGAATTGTTCGCAGCTGTTCTCTCAGATTGATGAATCCCATTTCCTCGTAAGTAGAGCGCGCGTGCCAGGTGCTTCATTAGCATAGGTACTTAGCATAAGTAACCGCCCACTAATGCCCATATAAGGGACTGCAGGGCCGTGTGCAGACGGCAGAGGAAACAGCAACAGGCCTAAAGCAAAGAGTTACACGGAGCAAAAGTCACCCTTTTTTCTTCTTTTACCAGACTGAGAATAAAGTTATAAAATGTTGACTTAAAAGTCGAAATATTATGATAATAAAGTCGAACTAGCAAAATTATGAGATTAATCTAAGAATATGATGAGATTAATCTCAAAATGTTATGAGCTTAATTTAAAAATATATTATGTATTATTTTAAAGATGAATCTCAAAATGTTTTGAGATTAATCTCAAAATATTTTGGACCCTGGGAGGAGATCCAGCGCGGACCAGCGCTGAGACCAATGCAGACCCGAGGAGAGACTGGAGTGACCAGCACACAGAAACCAGCGCGGACCTATAGGAGAGACCGCATAGACTGGAGTGACCTGACTGGAGAGACCGCATAGACTGTAGTGACCTGACTGGTGCGCAGAGACCAGCGCGGACCGAAGAGAGACCGCATAGACCAGACTTGAGAGACCAGCGCGGATCCGTATGGAGAGACCAGTGCAGACCAGTATAGATCCATGGGAGAGACTAGTGCAGACCCGTATATGGGAGAGACCAGTGCAGACCCGTATAGATCCATGGGAGAGACCAGTGCAGACCCGTATATGGGAGACACCAGCGCAGACCCGTATAGATCCATAGGAGAGACCAGCGCAGAGACTCAGCGCGGATCCAGTAACCTCCTGCAGCAGCAGTATATATGCCGTTGTTCTGTGGCCCGTGGATAAAGAAATGCCCCCTATAAATAGGAAGGGGTCACTAATACACGGCAAGATTTCCAATGTATTTGATAAAGCGTTGGCACATTTCATTTCAAAATGAATTAAAAAGTAGGCCAGATCTGCAATGAAAAAGGCGGTATATAAATAAAGATTACTAATAAAGATTACTACAAATAAATAAATACATACATCGATATGACGGACATATCACTGGAATGTTGTATTTTTATTCAACTTCACCAAAGAGGACAACCCCGGCGTGTGAACATGTCGGCACTGAATGCGTACGAGTGCTCCTGAGGACTCGTAGGATTTGTACTTGCCCAAGAGAAATTCTGGTTACGAGAAATATTCGTGAATGCCACTTTCTTCGTAAAAACCGCGTAAGTAGGATTTACGTACAAATCTGTTCCTAAGAACCGTTTGTGAATGAGGCCCATTGAGAGTGGCAATACATCATCAAGGTCGTGTTTTGGATCTGATTCTGACCAAAGGGCTCAAAATAACGAAATACCAACAAAGACATCTCCATCTCTTCATTCTTAACTCCTACGTCTAAATCCATTGCCCGATCGTACACACACAAACTTCCTCTTGTCTGTAAATAGCCTGAGAAACTCCATCATGGAATAACTTTACATACATTTAATAATAACAATGCATCGGTTTTAAACGGCGCTTTTCAGGATCTTTCTTCTTTCACTCCAAACACTCTGGTGATAAACTACTGGGCGGCCACCGTGCCACTCAGCCACCGGCGGCACTCTCGCTTCTCAGCAAGAAGATCGGACCAGGGCCTTTCTGAGTGGAGTTTGCATGTTCTCCCCGTGTCTGCGTAGGTTTACTCCGGGGGCTCCAGTTTCCCCTACCGCTAAAAACATGTACAGCAGGTTTAGCATGCACCTCCTGTACTGGCCCCGCTTTGTCGAGTCTCTGTGTGGAGTGAGAGACAACTGAATCTGGTCTGTGAAAGGCGCTATATAAATAATGATTGTTTATTTTCCACTGTAGCCACAACTGCCTTGACAGAAGCGAGGCAACCAGTCTGTGCCATCGGCCCCTCCCACCCCCACCAACCATTCACACACACACACACTCGACGCATTCTAATGTGGGGGAAGTGTTTTGCCCAAGTACACAACAACAGTTTGGCCCTTTACAGCCGCAGCCGCCCCACTGTGGTGTTCCTAGAGGTCTCCCATCACAGCACTAACCAGGCCCTGTCCTACTTAGCTTCAGAGGTCTGACGGGATATGGCTTCCACCTGCAAGTTTGCCACAGATTACAAATTATTGCACATGAGAAACCTGATATCTCTTTCATATTTTTATTGTTTTTTGCACATGTACATTTCTCGGCTGTGACATCAATGAAGTTTTCTCTGATGGTATTTATCTAAACGTTACCATCAAACCCTCACTTTGTTGTTTTGCTTTAGTCCCAGGAGGAGATCGAGGAGCAGCGGGAGCAGGTGAACGCCTCGGTGCTGACGCTGGAGGAGGAGCTGGAGAGGAGCCGGGTCCAAGGAGACGAGTGGAAAACCCGACTGGAGTCCAGCGCCCGAGAGCTCAGCAGCACCAGAGAGCAGTACGTACAGAGAGGGGCGAGAGGAAATGGGACTTTTAATAAAAATAATAATAATAATAATAATAATAATAATAATAATAATAATACATCTTTATTTGTATATCAATCAATCAAATTTTTTTTTTTGTATAGCTCCTTTCCCACACGAGGCAACACAAAGCGCCTAGACATTAAAATATACGTAAACTGAAATCCCAAAGGACGTTAAAAACACACAATGAGATCACAAGAAAATTAATTAATCACACAAGTAATTATAATAAGCACTTTTAAAAAACGTATAGCACTTTTAAAAAACATTTAGCTCCTCCAGAGTCTCCTCAGAGTCCCAGCAGGAGTCCGGTCCCTGTGCTCCCTGTAGTCCCAGCAGGAGTCCAGTCCCTGTGCTCCCTGTAGTCCCAGCAGGAGTCCGGTCCCTGTGCTCCTCAGAGTCCCAGCAGGAGTCCGGTCCCTGTGCTCCCTGTAGTCCCAGCAGGAGTCCGGTCCCTGTGCTCCCTGTAGTCCCAGCAGGAGTCCGGTCCCTGTGCTCCCTGTAGTCCCAGCCGGAGTCCGGTCCCTGTGCTCCCTGTAGTCCCAGCCGGAGTCCGGTCCCTGTGCTCCCTGTAGTCCCAGCCGGAGTCCGGTCCCTGTGCTCCCTGTAGTCCCAGCCGGAGTCCGGTCCCTGTGCTCCCTGTAGTCCCAGCCGGAGTCCGGTCCCTGTGCTCCCTGTAGTCCCAGCCGGAGTCCGGTCCCTGTGCTCCCTGTAGTCCCAGCAGGAGTCCGGTCCCTGTGCTCCCTGTAGTCCCAGCAGGAGTCCGGTCCCTGTGCTCCCTGTAGTCCCAGCCGGAGTCCGGTCCCTGTGCTCCCTGTAGTCCCAGCCGGAGTCCGGTCCCTGTGCTCCCTGTAGTCCCAGCAGGAGTCCAGTCCCTGTGCTCCCTGTAGTCCCAGCAGGAGTCCGGTCCCTGTGCTCCTCAGAGTCCCAGCAGGAGTCCGGTCCCTGTGCTCCCTGTAGTCCCAGCAGGAGTCCGGTCCCTGTGCTCCCTGTAGTCCCAGCCGGAGTCCGGTCCCTGTGCTCCCTGTAGTCCCAGCCGGAGTCCGGTCCCTGTGCTCCCTGTAGTCCCAGCCGGAGTCCGGTCCCTGTGCTCCCTGTAGTCCCAGCAGGAGTCCGGTCCCTGTGCTCCCTGTAGTCCCAGCAGGAGTCCAGTCCCTGTGCTCCCTGTAGTCCCAGCAGGAGTCCGGTCCCTGTGCTCCTCAGAGTCCCAGCAGGAGTCCGGTCCCTGTGCGCCCTGTAGTCCCAGCAGGAGTCCGGTCCCTGTGCGCCCTGTAGTCCCAGCAGGAGTCCGGTCCCTGTGCTCCCTGTAGTCCCAGCAGGAGTCCGGTCCCTGTGCTCCCTGTAGTCCCAGCCGGAGTCCGGTCCCTGTGCTCCCTGTAGTCCCAGCCGGAGTCCGGTCCCTGTGCTCCCTGTAGTCCCAGCCGGAGTCCGGTCCCTGTGCTCCCTGTAGTCCCAGCAGGAGTCCGGTCCCTGTGCTCCCTGTAGTCCCAGCAGGAGTCCGGTCCTTGTGCTCCCTGTAGTCCCAGCAGGAGTCCGGTCCCTGTGCTCCCTGTAGTCCCAGCAGGAGTCCGGTCCCTGTGCTCCTCAGAGTCCAGGCGGGTTCACATGGCACTAATGTATTTTGGTGCGAGGCTTTGGAAGCAGACAGTAAAATACAACATGTGAAGTTTAAAACAGTTAAAAGCTGTTTGATAAAAGTGGGTTTTAAGAAGTGATTTAAAAGCAGAGAATACTGATGAAGCGAGCCTTATCTCCTCGGGCCGGTGGTTCCAAAGCCGAGGAGCACGGACAGAGTAGACTTTTCGCCCGGAGCCTCGACCTCAGAACAGTCACAGGGACCTGCCCGAGGATCTGAGGCTGCGGGGGAAGAGCTCGTAGAGGGTTACAATTTCATAAATATATCTACTGTAGGTGCCAGACCTAAACAAGCTTTTAAAAGTAATCAGTATAATCTTAAAATCCATTCTAAAACGCACAAGAAGCCAGTGGAGGGACGCTAACACAGGGGCGATGTGCTCCCTTCTCTGTTACTACAACTAATGTTTAGCTAACAATAAAACGTCCATAAATGTCATTATTCTTGAACGTAGCAAATACCAAACCCATAGATTCATGTTTGTTTGATTTGACGAGGCGGACGCAGCAAAAACAGAGAAAAAGTTGTAAAAATCTTGCGTAAATCAAGCAGTACAATATTTATTTGCGTATATTTTTGACAGTGTAAAAGCCACAGTTTGTCATGTTTTGTCTAAAAAATAGTTTCATATATTTTTTACCCATTGATTGTTATGTTTTGCTCTAAAAAGTATTAAAATGTATACTTGGAGTAGGCTTACAACTCAGCAAACCTAATTTAATCACTACTAAAACCATGAAACTCGTCTCTTTGGAGATTAGTTCAAAACCGTTTAAGACCAAAGCCTCTTTCGCTCACGTCATATAAAAGTCATTTATCACGTGTCTTGCATCATATCTTTCTCAAACTGTCTAATCTGCATTATTTTGGGGCTGAAATAAGTCTCTGGAGTTATTCTTAATGCATTTTTCTCTCACTGGACGTTTCCATCATCAGGACGGAGAGGCACAGCGGCGGCCAAACGTGAGAACCCAGAATGCCTTTAGCCTTGATTTGAGTAGATCGTAGTCCACGTTCAAATCACCAAATCTGAAGTAGAGATGTGTGTGCTCAAATCAGATACGCAAAATCAGGACAAAGAGTTACTAACAATGTGTTTTTTGAATCATCCAATCAACCTCACATATCCAGACTGATTGTGTTGATGTGTTTTATGACCTGGCACAACATTATAAGCAATACATGTACATTCACTGCAAAAAGTACTAGAAAAATAAGTACAAAATGGTCCAAATTTGGCAAAATGTGTCTTTATTTGAGCCCGTTCTGACTGAGCCTTAAACAAGATTCTTCAATGGGACAAAACAAAATAATCTTGTTTTAAAAAGATACAGAATTATTTCCCTTTGAATGAGAAAATAAAGCAGCAGATGTTGAAAAAAAAGACTAAAAATGGCTTTGTGTCACTGGGAGGAGGCCCCGGGGAAGACCCAGGACACACTGGAGGGACTGTCTCTCAGCTGGCGGAAGTGTGTGTAGATAGGGAAGTCTGGGTGTGTCTGCTTAGGCCCAGTTTATACGGAGGCGCTGCGCAGACGTTGCTATGAACAGAAACGACCAGGCTCCTAATGAAAATTTCACAGCGTTCATACAAAGATCAAAAACAATGTAGTTCTAGCGCCCGGCCAGTAGGGGGTAGAAGAACTTTACAACACGACACACGCTCCCCCCAGTACCCCCTCCCCCCAGCAGTGTACTCACTTTCTCTGCAAGACGTGAAAGAACCAACATCATTCTGTGTTTTAACAGCAGCTGCGAAAATAGAAACTGAACCTAGAGCTTCGCGTGGTCTCGTTTGGACGAACGAAGTAGAATCCTCCTCTGTGCAGCGCTCGAAGCACACGTAGCTAGTTAGTGAACCCGCCGCCATTGTTGTTTACGTTTGTTCTCCGCTACTGCACATGTCCAAATGTACGTGATCAGCAGCAGAGAATTCACACCTTTTCCCTGACGCGGGTGGGAAAGAGCGCCCCCTGCTGATCAGAGTATCTGAGCTGTCCCATTCTGAGGCTGGATCTTAACTCTAACGTTTTCACCTGGAGCACAGTCTCCGTATGAACGGGGGGTGGCAGCCGACACCAACTATAGCGTTTTACAGCAGCAGCGCTCCGTATAAACTGGGCCTTAGACTGCTGCCCCCGCGACCCGGCAACGGATGAAGCGGAAGAAAATGGAATGGAATGGTTTTGTCCTATTTGCAAATCTTGTTTTAACACAGTCAGGATGTGCCTAAGTTCGTTTTAAAAACCACACAATTCAAGCTAATTTTCCCTCATATTATATCATTTTTTGCAGTGATGTGAGTGACAAATGATCAACTTTTCTGTAATCAGTCGTGTTTGGAATTAAAATCCTGCCACGATAAGAACTGATCCCAGTGATAAAAGGCAAACTTCTTACAAAATGTCACATGACTAAATATTGATCCTTTAGGTGCCTTTTTTCAGAAACAGACAAAAGATGAGACTTAAGGAGAGACAGAGGGCTGTGAAAATCAATAATGGAAACACATGCAAGAACGACATGGTAAGAAACATGTCGGGGAGCTCTGTGGTCTCTGTATAGAAAATGGTCTAGATTGAGGAGCTCACAGCAATTCTGATACTTTGGCACGTAGAATGTAAATGATATTCGGGAACGATGTGGATGTGGCCGGTGATAAAAGGCAAACTTCTTACAAAATGAGCCAATTGTGCTTTTCATTGTAGCATCAACGTGTCCAGCAGCTACGGCGGAAACTCAACTTGTTGCCGACCCATGACCAAAAACATACATTAAAACGTACATTGTCCCAGATTTAATCAATTCTATTCAAAAACTTAAAAAATGGCGCCTTGGCAGGAACTCTGCTGCACACTTCAGCCTTGCACAGTTTTTCCAATGTGGTTTTACTGCAAATGGCAAATAAATTCTTGAATCTTGAATATAGTTTTTATTTTTTTGCAAAGGTGATACTGCTCCTGGATCTGCCTCAATCATTATCAGTAAAAAAAAAATAAAAATCATTAAGAATCAGTACAAAGCCACGTCCAAATATATTCATTTTCTGCAAATTCTGCATTGGTTCAAAACACAGAATGATGTTTTTTATCCAATCGCCAGAGTCTAATGAAGTCTGAATAAGATACAGTGAAGTAATGTTTAGTATAATAGCTTTTTATCAAACTTTGAGAGGGATAATTACTAATAATAATTTCAAAATTCCCAGCTATATCCTTATATTAGCTTGCTATAATTGTATGGTTATTTTGGAAGCTGCAGATATCAAAAAACCAAACTTATCCCCAAGTGTTTAATGTTTTGCCGGGTATATGATTTAGTGCGTTTGCGGTTTGCTTTTTATAGTTTGATCGATAAGTTTTACATTTATTATGAAAGACCAGGTTCTAATCCATTCTCATTGTGCATCTGCAGACTGGAGAAAACCTCTGTGGAAAAGGAGGGGCTTGAGAAGGAAGTCCAGAGTCTCAAAGAGTCCATGAAGACCCAGGGCCCTGCCTCAGATCTCAGTGGTTTGGCCCAGGTAAGACTAAAAGTTTGTGAAAAAGGGAGAATCTGGAGAACTGGACCTTTTCAAAGAGAATACGTTAATGCCTGTTGTGGAAATATTGTGGAGATTCTTTAATGAAATATGATCTTTTTGGGTGGAAGAAAGTCCAAATAAACTCCTTCTTTGTTAATAATTCGTTCAATCTAAAACCATGTAAAAAATACCTAAATATGGTGTGGTACAGTGTGGTTATTTTTATAGGGACAGTGTACAACAAACATGAGCCAAATGGACAGATGCATGGTGGCAGTTGTAGCAGTTTTAATTAGCAGCGGTGCTAGTTTTCACCTGTTTACTGTTTACTTACTGTTTACTGTTGTTATGTTGTTATTCAGTGTGAAGTCGATACTTTCTACAGTGACAGCCTCAGTCAATCAACAATCATTTTGCCTCTTCCATTCCTTGCCTTTCTGTTTAATTGAATCCATTGCCATTGCGTTGCCATGAGGACCTGAAGAGGGCTCGGGCTGATCTGGAGAAACAAAAGGGCGAAATGAGCGAGAAAACCGAGGCCCTTCTGACGCTGAGGAAAAGCAGCAGCGCCAAAGAGTCCGAGCTCCAGGACCATATCAGGAAGTTGAAAGAGCAGCAAAAACACAGAGACGAAGTGGACAGAGTCAAAGAGGTGACGGCGGCTAGTGTTAGAAAACATTTGAGAATAAAGTAAATGAAAATCTATAGGTTTACACCGATTAAGCCACAACTTGTGAGTAACCATAGAAACATCCATCCATCCGTTTTCTTCCCCTTAATCCATTCTTTTTTTTATACTTTAATTTTGAGTTTTTGCCTTTCGAATTAAGGGGAATGCCATAATTATAAATAGAAAATAAAAAAAACTCACAAGGCAACATTTTATAATGCTAAGAAAGGATTACATGAAAAAAAAAAACAATAAAAAACAATTAATACAAATAATAATAATAATACCCCTTAATCTATTTCTGGGTCGGGGGTGGCAGTCAGAGCGGCACCAGCCCCTCACTGGTCCTCCTGCAGGTGGTGAGTTCACAGGAGCCTTGACTATTCAGCGGGGGCTTCAGGCAAAGTGGGGTTAAGTGTCTTGCCCAAGGACACAACAACAGCAGACATCAGGGGGAGTCGTGAAGTAAGTCTTGTGGTGGGCTTGAACCCATGACCTTTAGGCTCTAAGGCCAATGCTCTACCAACTGAGCCACCGTCGCCCCCACCATAGAGACATATATTGAGATTTATTAGAGAGATTAGAGATTTATTATTTATTATTAGAGATTTAAAACCGTTGATTTCTCTCACACTCGACCTGATTCATACGTTTTGGTAATTTACAATAAACACATTTTAATCAATTTAACTCAAATAAATTGCGGTATCTTGGTATAGCTGAGGTACCTCACTTTTTTTTCCCATAAATAACATTGTAAAGTAAAAGTAAAATGTTGAGGACAGATGAGACCACGACACGCCGTCTTTATCGTATCAGAAATGTTTTTATATTTATTGGTCATGAATTGGTTGGTTAAATGGACAACTATGAAAGCTATTGTATGATTTAGCTCATGTCAAATGCTTTTCAAATATTGTATTTATTTATATAACCAACAATTTGAATACCCCGTTAAAACACATTAGTCTGTGTTGCTAAATAACTTTTAGGTACATATCCTTTCGACAGCTTTTTTCAGAAATGTGATGTGAAGCAGACAAAAGGTGGGACTTTAGGAGAAACAGGGCTGCTGAGATCATTATAATGAGAATACATGCAAGAATTATATGTATGGAAGCTCTAAGGTTATAATTTTTATATCTGATACATAGACATTTGACAAAGGGCAGAAAATACCTCCATGTGGAAACTAGTGATGAAACCAGAAGCGAGGAACTAAGATGGATTTTCATTACGAACAAGACCTTTAATGTTCACTCCTTTTTGAATTTCTAAAATGTAGGAGCACTAATAACAAGAATAATTTGTTTCCTTTTTTCTCTTTTTGGTTGAACCCCCAGGTTTTATAATTATATGGCTCTACAAAACATTTGAGATGCAGCTTGATGGTAAAAGCCTAAAACCAAGTGATAGAGATTCCCAAGCTCCAAATCGATAGTCACTCCAAATGTGTTCTACCAAAGAGTTAAGGAAACCATTGAAGGGTAAAAAAATAGTCAAATAACGATTCAAGTATTTATCAAAGCATACCAGTTGGGAGGTACTCGTAGTTAAGCCGCTGCTCCTCCAACACATAGTGATAGACTGTTATGAGGCTACATCTAAACACTTGGATTATGTGCATCTTTGCCTTTAAATTTGAATATGAGAATGTTTTGTATCACCGTTTATCTAAACGGTGATAAATCTTTGTGTGTAGTCGTCGGTCGGTGTTGGAAAAACGGCGGCGGACTCTGGCTCCAACGCTGAGCTGCAGGAAGCTAACATCCGTCTGCGGGAGCGCCTGGCCCGACTGGTACGACCAAAACCCCCGCTTTTTACAAACAGGCTGCAGAGGGAATCCTGAATGGTCGCCCACGCACTCTCTATTTTCAACAGAGCTTTGCCAAATTAAAAACCGAGCAATCACTCAACCGCAAAATAATCCCCGCGCTACATTTGCATTTATGCTAACGGCTTTGGAGCAGGACTGTACTCTAAGGGCCAATGTAATGGTGTCTTACTGTCGCATTCAAATCCTTACAATAGAAACCGTATGGAAATGTTTAATTACCACAGTGTACATAAGCAATGGGAGCGGATTAAAATAAAAATGTGTGTGATTATGCAACCGGTTTATTTGTGAAGTAAAAATAGCACGTAAAATTGCATACGAAAAATCAGAGAAACAGCTGCGGAAGATGAGCCACAATAGAATTGACCTGGGAGCTCTCTCGGGAGATACCAGTAGCTCGCCAGCCTCTTTCAGGTAGCTCCCCAAAGGGTGATCCTGAATAATTATATTTGGTTATTATTGAATACATATACATATTATAGGTTTTTTTGGGTGGCATATATATTCTTCTTCCTTAAAGACTTGGCATCAACATAAAAAATATTCATAAAAATCACATTTACACAAATAACAACAATTGTGTATAGAATGTAAATGTATAATGTTGATGTAATGATGGACGTCAAACTGTTTTAAGATAAGAAGAGATAAGATAGACTTTATTGATCAGAACAGAACACGAACAGAAACGACCAGGCTCCTAATGCAAATTTCACAGCGTTCATACAAAGATCAAAAACAATGTAGTTCTAGCGTCCGGCCAGTAGGGGGCAGAGGAACTTTACAACACGACAGACGTGAGCCTCAGCCCCCCTCCACCCAGCAGTGTACTCACTTCCTCTGCAAGACGTGAAAGAACCAACATCATTCTGTGTTTTAACAGCAGCTGCGAAAATAGAAACTGAACCTAGAGCTTCGCGTGGTCTCGTTTGGACGAACGAAGTAGAATCTTCCTCTGTGCAGCGCTCAAAGCACACGTAGCTAGTTAGTGAACCCGCCGCCATTGTTGTTTACGTTTGTTCTCCGCTACTGCACATGTCCAAATGTACGTGCAGGGAGCAGTGGGGAGGTGGGGGTCAGAGCAGGCAGGGAATTCCCTCATGCGTGTGTGAAAGAGCGCCCCCTACTGAGCAGCGTATCTGAGCTGTCCCACTCTGAGGCTGGAGCTTAACTCTAACGTTTTCACCTGGAACAGTCTCCGTATGAACGGGGGGTCGCAACCGACACCAACTATAGCGTTTTTACTGCTGCATTGTCTCCGTATAAACAGGGCCTGAAATACTGTATATCCTGTGTTTTTGTAGCTGTAAAGTAGATCTAGATTCTGCTCATATTCTCCGCTGCTAAAGTACAATTTACACATCTGTCAATACTTCTGAACCAATGCATTATAGCTCCAGAGTGTATTTTAATGAATTCCATTTTATCTTATTTTAATTCTATTGTCTATTATGGGACAAACAAAGGAATATCTTATCCTAAATCCATGTTAACGTTGACGTGTGCTCCAGACCAGACTGCACTCAACCCCCCGCGGAGCCGAGGTGGAGGAGGCCGTGGAGGCTCTGGAGGATGAGAACCGAGCGCTGCGGTCTCAGATGGAGGAGTCCAAACGAGCCACGGCACGACTCTGCAAAGAGCGCGACGAGCTGAACCGGCGCCTGGAGGAGAGGGAGCAGGAGCGGGACGTCCTAAGGAGAGGCAAGACCGACCTGGAGGAGCAGAAGAGGCTGCTGGACCGAGCGCTGGACAAGATCAACAAAGAGGTGAGAGCTCTGAGGACTCAACCGCAACGTAACATAAGATCAGATCAGAAAAAATATGGCTCTATTTGTCCCACAGTCGGGAAATGTCAGTGTCATCGTTGCAGATTACAGCAGAGAAAAGACGGAAATAAGACTCAGATTGTACTCATCAAACAGTCTATCATATAAGATACTAGATAATACATTTAAATAATAAGTAAGTAATGAGATTGTAAAAGAGAATAAAATGCAAGGTTCCGAGGTGTTTACAGATGTGTATATTGTACTTTAGCAGCAGAGAATATGAGCAGAGTAATAGTAATATCAGCAACTAATGGGACGAGTGAATAATGTATTAATAATATTATAATAATAATGTGGTAGTAATAGTAATGATGAAAAAGGCTTTAAAGTATGTATGTATGGAGATGTGTGTAAATGTAGCTTTTGGACCAAGAGCCGCTTTTGGGCCGAGAGCCGCTTTTGGGCCGAGAGCCGCTTTTGGACCAAGAGCCACTTTTGGGCCGAGAGCCGCTTTTGGGCCGAGAGCCGCTTTTGGGCCGAGAGCCGCTTTTGGGCCAAGAGCCGCTTTTGGGCCGAGAGCCGCTTTTGGGCCGAGAGCCGCTTTTGGGCCGAGAGCCGCTTTTGGACCGAGAGCCACTTTTGGACCAAGAGCCACTTTTGGACCAAGCCACTGCTTGACCTTTTTCCCGCCCCTTTTTGACCCGCCCCTTTTTGTCTTTGTGTGTGTGTGTGTGTGTGTGTGTGTGTGTGTGTGTGTGTGTCAGATGGAGTTGATGATGGGCGACTCGCGGCAGTCTGTGGCCACACTACAGTCTCAGTTGGAGGAGTACAGGGAGCGTTCACGTAAAGACCTGCAGGAGGCGCAGAGGAGCAGCAAAGAGCGACTGTCCGAGCTGCAGCGAGCCCAGGGGAACCTCAAGACGCAGCAGGAGGAGGCGAGTGCGACATCACTGCACCACAAGAGCTCACACTAAATATACACGGAAAACAGAAGAAAGTACATTACATGAAGATGAAATGTCAGAAAGTTGGTGTTTAGTACATTAGTGTAGGTAGAATTATAGTATGTTATGGATGCAAATAGTGCTTGATGAAGTTTTTATTTTCAGACAACAGTCACCAAACTAGCCTGGTCTTACTATACCATCGTACTCATTTCATTTCGTACTTAGGTCAGGATTTGCTTCGTTGACTCCGTTAACGGGTGGGAGGGGTTAACTCCTTTTGCAGATTGAAACCATTGGATCTGAGTTTACTGTGACGTATGTAGTTTGCCCGTGTGAGTGGGTTTACTATCGCATTTGCCGCAAATTTGGCGCAAACTCCTGCTGTCACCGACCACTGATTGGTTGGAGGCGATTCAACCGAGGAAACTACAGCCACTAGGATCAGACCCAGACGTACATGTAGGAAATGATCATGGACCAGAGTTTACACATGGTAAGACCAGACGTACATGTAGGAAATGATCATGGACCAGAGTTTACACATGGTAAGACCAGACGTACATGTACAAGTCGTTGAGGTTTTTGTTGTTTTTGATCCACCTGGTTAGCACTTTACTGTGGAGAAGCAGTGTGTCCTGTATTTATTTATGTGAGCTGTGAAATGTGTAATTTTCAGCCATTATCAATCTGTGTAAGAGTGAGACTTTTCTTTATTTGCTTTTTGTTCGCACATCTCTGGAAATAAAATTCATCTCTGATCTGAATTAATGCGGATTCTTATGTTTTGATCAAATTTCTTAGATTTCTTAGTTACCGAGACGTGTCATTACCGACAGCACGGAGTCGGTAAGTTGAGAAGAATAACAGAGATACAAGGCAAAGATGGATGAAAATAGAGACTTTAAAGAAGATATTTTGTTTTGTTAGCAAGTACATGTACAGTAACAACTGAAACGTAAGCTCCATGGACGACTGATTATGCTTTTACAAATTTAACAACAATTACTAATAATAACACATCGTTTTTACATAGCGCTTCTCAAAAACTCAAAGACGCTTCACAAGTCAGGACACACACGTACGTTTAGACAGACACACAAAACTAAAATCTAAAAGCAGGAAAGAAGAGTCCAAAGCTGAAACTATGAGTCGTATGCTTGGAGGAAGAGGTGTAGGGTTTAGAGAGTCCGAGTTTCTGAGATGGAGGGGGGAGAGAGTTCCAGAGAGTGGGAGCAGAGATGGCGAAAGCCCGGTCCCCCCAAGGTTCGGTGCTTGGATTCGACAGTGGGAGTGAGGAGAGTCTGCAGATCGGAGTCGACGGGAGGAACTGTAGAAGTTCAGTGAGGTCTGGAGGAGTGAGGTCATGGAGGGCTTCATAAATGCTATCTTGTTCAGCACTTTGAGTTGCCTTGAAATGGATGCGCTGTTTGATGGGAGCCAGTGGAGTTTACAGAGGACAGGGGTGATGTGCTCTCTGGGTCTGAGTGAGGAGGCGGGCGGCGGAGTTTTGGACATATTGTAGTTTTTGGAGATCAGATGACAGAAGGCCGTATAAAAGACTGTTGCAGAAGTCTGGAGGATATGAAAGCATGGATCAGGGTTTCAGCAGCGGTGGAGGACAGATATGGGCAAAGACGGGCAATGTTTTCGTCCAATTCCACGTCATGATGTCAAACTATTATTATCCAGAGCTTTTTAAAACCTTTTTCTTTCATGCGTTGTTTTGTTGTCATTTATTTAGTCTCATTTCTCTGCTTTTTCAACCTGCCTTTGTATGTTAGTCTCAGCTCTGAACCCAAAATCCACTTTCTTCTCTCAGCGGCCTGTAATAGTTTGTGTTTCTGCAGGTTTCTCGTCTGAAGAAGGAGCTGTTGACCTGCAGCGAGGAGAGAGACGGCGCTCAGCTCGAGAGGGACCTCCTCAACAACCGCCTCAAACATTTAGAAAGTGAACTGGACTCGGAGAAGAGCTCCCAGACCGACCGCTCCAGGGAGATCCGCGGCCTCGAGGTGACTCAAAGATACTGGGAATAATAGATCAATGAGATGGGCCATAAATACTTTTATATTTGAGTCTGATTTGGTTGGAACACGCTTTGTTTTACTGTAAACTGGGTTCGATTCCACCCTCAGGTCTTTCTGCATGTAGTTTGCATGTTCTACCCATGTCTGCGTAGGTTCCCTCTGGGTGCTCCGGTTTCCCCTACCACTGAAATATGTATTTTTTCTAGTAACAAAACACTGGATCTGATTTGGTTCATACGGCACCAACAATAGTTGAAATCAGACTAAAATGCTTAGACAAAACTTGAATTTAAAACCTCCCTAGCAATTTAGAATTTTTAAAGCCTAATTTGAAGTAAATAAATACAGCAGACAAGAGCACAATGTGTCTCCTTTAAAAGAAAGCCAAACCTGTACTTGGTGACAAATTGCATTTCCGTCACAAAGCTGTTAATGCGCTTTAGATTCGCATTAGTCCACATGGCTGCTTTAACATGAACAAACCTTTTTACATAAGGCCATCCTGATTTCACTAACACAAAAGGGCGCATGGGATCACAGCACACAAGAAGCAGAAAATACAATTGCCTGCACACTTTATAAATACTGAGAATAGACTTCATTTTTCACCCTATTCTGCCACTATTTTAGTTCGTGTGTGTTCACAAAATCTTCTCTGTCTGCTGCAGTTTAATACCAAGCAGTTATAAGTAGACCTGTGTTTGCTCTACTACTAATTTTCTATTAATTCAAAATCCATTTTTACAAACCTTAATATTACCTTATGTTATAATTGTTTTACTTTATTAATTGCCCACTCAAAGCCGTCTTAAGGTTAATTATTTCATGTTTGAGTGTTGTAATCTTCTGGATTCACATCACAAGTGCTCCTTTAATTCCTCTTTGTAGTACCACAGCACACCAACTATGACTTTGTATGTTGAATGGGATAACCTGTGAAACATACTGGATAAAAATTCATGCCAAAAATGTCATGTGTTATTGGCTGCTATCGGCATTTAGTAGTGACGACAAGAGAAGGGCACAATTCAATACTCTATATTTATTACAGATATTCAATTCAATTCTATTTATTTTTGTATGGGCCTAAATCACAGCAGCAGTCAGAGGTATTGATTCCTCAACAACAGATCTGATAATCAAACAGTTGGAACAGAGCAATAATAACAAACACATATGCCGTCGGTCCATTGGGGGTGGATAACCAAGTTCATAAACGTCCTTAAACATAAATGTCCTTAAATATAAATGTCCTTAAATGTCTAGGGTCATAACTGAAATCAGTGAACACATGTATTCACATAAATTGAGATCAACATTGAAAATATGTATGAAAAAATATGTGCATCCACCCATCCATTTTCTTCCCCTTAATCCATATCTGGGTCTGGGTTAGTAGTTAATTCACAGAGCGTCAGCCCCTCACTGGTCCTCCTGCAGGTGGGGGGTTTTAGGCAGTGAAGTGGGGTTAAGTGTCTTCAGATTCATTTTATTAGCCATGTGCAGTATAAAAAACTACATTGGAATATATTAAAGCAAAGGAAGGTTTCTCACCCATCATCTGTACTTCTTAGCAAGTTTTCCCGACGTTTCGTCCTCAACCTGGGGACTTCTTCAGGGAATGAATTCTCGGACCGCGCGTTGGAGATTTATAACCTATGGGTGTGGTAAGCCACACCCTAATCCTGATACTAACTCGTAAACAATCTCAGGTCTGCTTGATGTAGAAGGGAGCAGGTCTAACGACCCTGCTGAGGCTAACGACCCTAACTCCTTAGCATGTCACAGACCTATTGTCTGCTGGGATGCTCAAGTGGAGTGCAGGTTTCACCCCTCCTAACCTGCACTCCACTTGAGCATAAATCTCCAACGCGCGGTCCGAGAATTCATTCCCTGAAGAAGTCCGCTAGTTTGAGGACGAAACGTCGGGAAAACTTGCTAAGAAGTACAGATGATGGGTGAGAAACCTTCCTTTGCTTTGACTAATCCCTGTACGACTGAGGGCTTACACAAACTTATTGGAATATATTCTCAAAAAAGGTACTCTGTGTGCACCGACAGAATAAAGAGCACGATACAATGTAATATAAAATACACATACTCTGAAAATAAATGAATAAACAGCTGACACTGTGGCACTGATCCACAAAAACGATACAAGGGGTAAAAGCAGGAATTAAAGTGCTCTGTTCAGACACCTAACAGCTTGTGGAAAGAAGCTGTTAGCGTAGCGAGATGTCTTGCATCTCAGCGACCGATATCTTCTGCCAGAGGGAAGAAGCTGGAACATGGCTTTCCCAGGGTGACTCAGGGACTTTCCCAGGGACTCTTCCCAGAAGAGTCGTTGATGATTTTAAGAGCTCTGTTTAAAAGTCTGGATTTATAAAGAACCTCCAGAACAGGAAGCTCACAACCCACGGTCCTCTTTGCAGAGCAGAGCACCTTGTTTAAAGCGCTCTTTTCTTTATCTGTGATGTTTCCAAACCACACAGACACAGAACCAACAAGTAAACTCTCAATGGTGCAGTGATAAAAGTTAAGCAGAATTATTATTAATCTTTATTTCAGACTCAAGATAAAATTGGTCCATACAAAAAATAAAAAATAAACAATAAAAGGGCAATGCTTTCAAATATATAGTATCATTTCCGGCAGATTTAAATATGATTAAGTGTATCTGTCCAGTGCTTTCTCATAGCAGATGTGTAGCGACATGAGCTCATTCTACCGTTGGTCAGAGTCCGAATGATGCCGTTCACAGAATATTAGAGTTATTGGAAAATTCTCTAAGTTTCCGCAAAAAGAAGAGCCGCTGACGTACTTTCTTAACAACCCGGTTAGTATTTTTGTCCCATTTCAGGTTGTTAGACAGAGTTAAACCCAGGAACTTGCACTCCTCTACAATCTGCACCTGGGAGTTGTTGATAACAACAGGAGTGTGAGAACTGCTACGACTCACAGGGATCTGGCTCTTGATGAAGTCCAGCACGAGCCGATCAAAAGTCTTCATAAGAACAGACGTGAGAGCCACAGGGCGGTAGTCATTGAGACATGTCACTGGAGACTTCTTAGGAACTGGAATAATGGTGGACCTTTTAAAGCTCACCGGCACCCAAGGACACAACAATAATAGACATCAGTGGGAGTCGGTGGAGAAGATCTTGTGAGGGGATCAAACCCACGACCTTGAGGCTCAAATTCCAACTGTCGCCCTGAAAAAAAAAAAAAAAAAAGGTAAAATTAAGTCTACAAGTCTACAAAATGTCTTTTTAAAAGTGTCCAAAGCATATAGACAAAGTATTGTGCTCGACTTACTCAGGGCTTACTCTTTAAACTCCTCCACGTTCCCACTGGCTTTCAATTACCCGACCGGAGCTTTCTGTGGTTCCTCTGGCTTAAAGAGCCCAGGCGTCCGACGGTTCCTACGCGCCCCCTCCGCCGGCCAAGTCCTTTCCACCACGCTGCTTTTCAATTAACAACTGTCAATGCCTCATATCCGCACTAATCCTTTCAACATGCAATCGACTGGACCAGATCAATCAATAGCTGCTGTATTTTTCACTCTTGCCTGCTTACTTCTAATGCTGGATTGGCCTCTTGATCTTCAAATCCCTTGTTTAGCTAAAGTGGTCCTCGCGGGATCGCTTCAAGCAGTGGCGCATGATGAGACGCTGGCTGATGGGACAAATAGTAATAGTGGGTGATTGGAAATCTCTCGGAACAAGACGCGACTCGGACCCCTGCCACGGCTGCTTCTGGAAGGGTCTGATTGAAGTGCGTGTTCGGGACTCATCGGGTATTCACAAAGTCGCCTCCACTTCGCCCACCAGTTTGCGTCGCGCTGTCTTACGAGGGAGCGAGCGGCTTATGTCCTCCCCATCGCTGTCATATTTGGCGACATCGTGTGCGATGTATTTCAGAAGATAGAGGAAAAGACCTGAGAGGGAATGGGAGTGGGGGTGTTGCGTGTTCTAAGGCTTTGAAACATATACACTGAGTATTGTGGGGTTTCAAGATAGCTACAACTCAAGTTAGCAGCTCAGTCCATACCAGTTGAGACTAGAATACTGAATAATGGCCACAATGAGATTTTTCTCAAAATGGCCTCAGTGAAATGAGTCCATATCACACAGAACAAAAGCCTTTTATTAATCTCACTCTTATTATTCTCCTTCTCAGACTACTTTACCACGACATGTTTAGACTGCTAAAACTGCAACCCACTGTGATCTTGGAAATATGTCAGTTATCAACGATATTTCCATAGGTGGCTTCTCCATCACTATTGCGATTGTCTGTGGCTTGCGAAAAACATAACTGGTCGACTACTAATTTGACTTTTCTTTTTTGTTGACTGAACCAGATACCAAATAGTCACCAAATCAGTTCCATATCTTCCCATTTTTGCAGTTGTTCTCATATAAACAGGTTTGTATAGAAAAAAGGATAGCAACAATGGTGTCCAATTCAAACGAATAGATCCAGATTCACGCAGACCACACGAGCTGTTGCGCTGACACTAAACAAACGTCATAAAACATCCATAGTGGCTAACCACACCTGGTTTCACCCCCTGCAACATTGACACACATTCGGAACATAGTGTTGGGCCAAGAGCCGTGTTTTGAACCAGCTCTAAAGCCGTTTTTGACTCATGGAATTTTACCATCAAGGGTCAAGCAGGGTATTTCTGTCATAACTACAGTACACGTCAGGGCCGGAGTGGGACAACATTTCAGGCCGGGAGCTTTTCATCCATTCAGGCCAAACAAGGTTCTAAATTTGGGTTTTTGTCATTGTATTTTGATGTTCTTTTAATAGTTTTAAGATTGACTGTCAAAACTTTTGTTTTCTTTATTTCTTTTTATATTGACTGTTTATATAATCTCGGACGTTTAAAGATTGTTGTACGTTGCTTAGCAACGTAACGTTTATGGAGTTTAGTGAGAATAAAGACACACACACACACACACAATGAACTAAGTGTTCATTAGTGTATAACTATAACAAGCTAATCAATTATTGTTAAAAAAGTAGTAAGGTAAAATCACATCGTTACAGCTCATATAAAAGGAAAAATAAAAACGTGTATGAACCATCAGTTGGAGAGACCACTCATTTCAACCGGGGAAGCTACACTGGGTGCACTGCTAGGCTGGCCTGGCTGTGTAGCCGACGTGTGACGTCACATTTGTTTAATTTTGCTCTGGCCCAATGACAGTAAAGCTTTGGCCAGTGTTGTGCCAGTTCACAGCTTTTCTGAACTAGTTCAAGTTCAGTTCATACATGCTCAAAGTGAACAGTTCACGTTCGAAGTTCTCAATTTTAATTCTGAACTAGTTCAAAGTTCAGTTCATTTTACTTTTTGCGAGATATTCAAATAAATATTTTTTTTCACTACGAGCTAGAAATCACAATACGTGGTATATATATATATATATATATATATATATATATATATATATATATATATATATATATTATATCCTGTACACTGCACAGGATGTTTTGACTCCAATGCAGACAAGATTTACATGGGTTTCAATGGGAACTGAGTTGTCCCATCTCTGCTCATAAGTACAAACTGTAATGCGCTGCAGAACGTGTGTCTATACTTTATGTCAAATGTAAACGGCCCTGTGTCACTGACTTACCCCTGTGTTTTCATCACGGCACATGTGAGTCCAACAACCAATGAATAGCACTAGCATATAGCGCCGCACCACAAGTACACTGAGTCGGGGTGCGTTCACAGACGGTGGAAACCGTAGGAATTTTTAGTTTTCGGCGGAAACAGTGCGGAGAATACAGGAGGGAGGAACTTTCTCTCGTTGCGTTTCAAAAGAGAAAACAGATTTCACTCAGTTTTAAATGGAAAACAAATTGTCTGCCGTTCATGACACATAATATGAACTAATTCACGTTCAAGTTATTTATTAAAAAATGTGTTCAACGTTTCACGAAAAAATGAGCGTGTTCAATGAACGCGTTCTTTTGAACTCGTTCACGCACAACACTGCCTTTGGCCTGGGCCTTGCTCATTGGACCAGGCCACCAGGCAGGGCAGGAGTTTGCAAAGACCGTGAGGATGAAATTAAATTAAAAGAAAGAAGAAAAAAAAAAAAAGAAAAAAAGACCGTGATGATAGGGCAGGCCCAGGCCACTTTGACACGCAGGCCACCGGGAGATCTCCCGATGCTCCCGATGGCCAGTCCGGGCCTGGTACACGTGTGGAGCCAGACTGCAAAGAGGCCAACCCGTCTCCTTATAACCAACCGCTCCCACTGATGAAATAATCGACTAAAACACCAACGATTAACACCCCTGATTCCTTCTTGATGCATTTTGAACTTGTTGGTCTCTGTCCCTTTGACCCATCCCTCATCCCAGTCCATGATGTGGATATTCCTTTTCCACTGGTCTTGATATATCTTTTTCTGTTTTCTCTTCCTGTTCTTGTGAGTCTGGATTTTGTTTAGTTTTCACATTAACTTCTTTATTATGTTAAAATACTTGCCCTGTCTGACCTGTGTACCTTTTATGGCACTATTTACCCAGTATTTTATGTATTACTGTTGGCTTTGCTTTTGTGAGCAATTTGATAACATCTTGCCGTTATCAGCCAAAATATGTCAAGGTAAATAGTCTGCATCCCACCATTAAAGTGACTGTACATTTTCTTATCCGTAACATCCAGATAGAACACAATCCTAAATGTTACTTTTTTATCTTGAATGTTACAACTGTGACTATTTACAACCTGTGTTATAGCTCCCTTTGAATAGATGGGTGTCAATCAAAATTGTAAATTCTAAAATGTATCTTTCTCTGCTCTGATTGTAGCAGTAAAATGCAATACACAAGATCATTTCAATATTTACGAAGGGGTACACAAATGTTCGTGACAACCACTGTTTCTCCATTAGCCTAACGAACGGCCTGTAGCTACACAAGACAACGCCGCTCACAGCTGGATTCCGATCAAAATATGGAACAAATTCAGCTTCCATTCAAGCATGCATGGACAATAATTAGTCAGTAGTCATTGGTGATTGTCAAGAACATTTTAATCCCCCTCCTTCACTAAAGGATCAGGTTGTGTACAGTACATATTGATACAGTTCCCTTGGTTTTACTCCCGATGGCTAGTAAGTAAAGGCTAAATTACTGTTGCTATAACTTATATTTACACGTGCATACAATCCGAACTTTAATAACGTGTCCGATGTTTTAAATAGCCCGTTAAATCAGTTTTTCTATAGAATCACTTTAGTAGTAAACCTTCATGAGAGAAACACAAGCCTTTATCTCAGCAAATAAGGTAATATAGTTTGCCTAACGCTAACGTTGGTTTCTTTTTGTGGAACATTGGTATTTCACAGGCAGCTGCATTCTGAAAACATTAGATACATTTGATTTGGGAGAACGGGCCAGCGGTGCTCCGGAGTTTTAGTAATGTGCCAGTGGATTTGAGCTTGGATCGTGAGCAACTATGCGTTCACACAGACCGAGATACAATTGCTCCTGACAGCATCTCCGCTTTGCTGTGTGACAGATGAATATTGCTTTGGTTTCACCTGCTTATCTGCTGCAACTGTTTCAGAAACACATAAACACTGTTCTACCACGGCCAATTTAGAGCTACATATATCACTTTAAAGCATTCTTATAGCTTGTGTTGTTCCACATACATGCAGATTTCTATAGCTCACCCAAATTTCATGACTGGGCCACAGTTACTAAGCTACGGAGCAGGTCGTTCATCTTCATTCAGCACTATGAGCTATGATCATTTAGTCTGGAGTAATGTGTTTCACTTCATTTTATTATTTTTACTCTTGAACGGATCAGTGCATGTTATAGAACACATCTATCCGGAATATAGCCTTAGATAAGATAAGATAAGTGCAGAAAAATTCAATATCATCGTTGCACACATTGCAGCAGAATAAAAGGAGGTTGCACTATCAAACAGCATTCATTATTCAGATAATACAATAAAGTAAAGATTAATATATATATATAAATGTTAATAGTTGTTTATTTATGTTCTTATGTGTTTATATGGATGTGTTTTCTGCTGCTGGACACCTGATTCTCTTCTACGGGGATAAATAAAATATCTATCCATCTAATTCTCTGGAGCTATAATTGAGCTGTTGCATTTGTAATCACACATTGCCTATAGTCCACAAAATGGAGTTGTTTTAAAATGTATGCTCAGGATACGTTACATAGGCAGGAGGCACACTATACACAAACAAAACATACAAGGGCAAAGGTTCCCTCTCAAAAATGATCTCTGAGCCATAGACTTAAATTGTCTTATAGAAGTTGTTGAAGAACAGGGGGAGATTACAAATACTACCAGTAATTATGAATATAACAGTAAACAACTTTTTTTTCTTCAATGGACTGTTATAGCGATATTTAGATTGTGCTCTTCTTTTTATCTTTCTGCATTTTGTTTATTTTTATTATTATTTTTTATTATGTTAATTGCTCTCCCTACCTGACTTTTATATGTACGGGTTTATTTTCAGTGATCAACAATAAACAAAACAAAAAAAGAGATAAACTGTTGAAATATGTTTTTGTTGGAAAAACATGTCTGCTTTAGCCACACGGTGAGTCTGGAGTCTCAGTTGAAAGTGATGGAATTGGAAGTGACTTAAATAGAGGGCAATGTAATCACTTTTGGCATTTGTGGGTGTCTTGGCACCTGAGGGCGAGGCATGATTGAGAGGTGCCAACAAGACATTAAACTGGTGAAAAGCCAACGTGAACTAATTACAAAGGGCAAAGATTGAGTAATTTGCCACATAACACCATCAAGCTAATTAGAGTTTATAAGGTAGACCTTTGTGAGAGTGACAGTGGGGAA